GCGGAACGGTGTACGCAGAAAATCGCGAGCCTCGACCAATGACGAAAACAGCGGAACGCTTGTGATTGGTCAAGGCTCTCGTTCCGCGATTTTCTGCGTACACCGTTCGCTCTATGAGTTTGCACCCATAGATGTAATAGCTCTATGGCCTGTGCGCATGCAGTGAAACTCACGTCACCCACGTGGCCTATCGGTAGAACATATTGAAATTGAAGAATACAATTAAACAGTGTCGTGTTACCTAAATAATTTATTATTCGCGGATATCAAATGTGTTATATTACAATATAGTTGCTAACATATATAACAAACTGCATGCAAACATGAAATTCGCGTGTGTACGATATTTAGATAAGAAAACAGAAAGTTTCTGCGTTCCAATTCATTTTATAAAAATGAAGAACAACAAAAAATTGATATCCTTCCATCCAAAAGGAAACTGTGATTTTGACAAGAATTATATATATTTTGTTAAGTGGCACTGCCCAAAAGAATGCAACGACGATCACGAACATGATGCGTATTATAGAGCTCAAATTGCATTTTTATCTGGTAAGACAATATTATATACCCACATAGAAATGCATGATGATCATATTTCATCATGTAATGATCTTCTTATACCGATTGACAGTTATTGCATTTATCGTAATCATACTGTGATGACGTACATTATGTGTAGTACATGAATAGAACTATTATGTACATATAAAGTGTGATTCTAATTATATCTATGCTCAATGAAGTAATGAACACTACAGTATTTTATAGCTGAAACTATGATTTTAGAAAATAAAGCTGACGTTCAAAAGCGGATGGTGTCCGAAAGATTACGATACTGCTCACAAACAGCTGATATTACAAGTTCGGACTACGAGGATGTTGATTCGTCTTGTAAAATACAAGGGTCATGTCATAGAAAGAAAGTAAGTGTATCATTATTAGCTGATACAATAAACTTATTACCCAGCAAGCAAAATGGTACGGATGATTTTATTTTGAACAATATTAAACATTTACAAGAATTATATAAAAAATTAATAAGCAAAAAGACTTTATCCATTTATTATAGTATATATGTTATTTCACTGTACCTTACAATATTCTAGAATCGAACAGTTACTTTCCTTTTCATGTAAGAAACATTGCATAACATTGTTTGTTAATATAAACATGTTTTCAGGATACAACGGACACCGCAAAAAGAAATGTGGCTGTAACTATCGCCGAGAAAGTTGTAGAATCGTATAAACAAAGTTGTTTCCTGAATGAAAGACCATACATTACTGACAGCTGCACGAATCAGCGTAACATTCCTAATGATATTCAACGTGAAGGTAATTAATACAATTTACTGTTCTAATATATGACTCCAAGCAATATGTTTAAAGACAGTTTTCGAAATACTTTATATATTCACAATACATGTAGTATTTTTAACATACAATAAAATTACTTAATTATTTTATTACATTTCCAATAAAATATTACTTTCCATCGTTTCCAATGCACAATTAGCACTAGTTTTATTTTCATTTCTTTGAATGTATTCGTACAGTGTAAAGTATTAAATGATATGAAAATTACAGTCTTTAGGTTTAACTTTAAATATATGAAAACTGCATTGCAAAAATTTTTTATTACATGGAGATTAATGTATACCTGACAGCACAGTACGTGGCAAAGACGTCACTACGTCGTATCGACGTGCTTGCAACGTCCTTGCCATATCTGTGCAGACAGGATAATTATTATGTCTGAATAATATATTACAAATATACATTTTAAATATGTGAAATTCTTGTTTCATTGATATATCAAATACCGATATTGAAGACGACAGAAACGAACGGGATGCTGCAGATTCTGATGATTGTGACGTTTCAAATATTTCTGGTAACGAAGATATTCGCCTGAGAAAAGTACAACACGTAAAAAGACGCTTATTTACACAGAATAAATTGGTATCCGATTCTGATAATGGTAAGTAAACACTGTATATTTGCAATTAATACTAATTAAAAACTATTACTTTTGTACGTTTTCCCATATTGCGCTATCAACTATTTAAAAATAGTCTTTTACACATAGTCGTGACCTAAGATAAACCGAAATATAAAAAGACGAAATCCTACATTAATATACAATCGTATTGCATATTAGTTTCTGTTTTTTGTAACGATGCAATATAATTTGAAAATACTATAAGAAGTAATAATAATAAAACACTATAACAAGTTGCAGCCAATCTACATTTTGTCATGTTCATATTACTTATTTTGTATTATACAATTATGTATAATACGAGTATTTGTAGCCAATGTTAATAAGTGTACAAACATAATTATTTGAAATATAATGCAAAGTATTGTAAAGATTACAGCTTATACCTTAGTATACATGTAAAAAAATAGTCTTTGTGGTCGCTACACTGTTATTCTATCTGTTAGTTAATGTTCTGTACCCATTCGTCTTCAGTTAGTGAAACTTTGGCAGCATATTTGTTACTAGGGACCAAGCATGCGTAGGAAGTTTTATTAGTCTCATTCGTAAGACAAATGAAATGATAAAAGGGTGTATTATTGTCTCATTGAATTACAAGAATTATCTATATAAGTAATATATTTCTAATAACATAATACACTTTTAGGAACATTGAATTATAAAAATGACGCTATTTTAAGAGAACCTAAACGTATACAAAAGAGAAAATTTGTTGATTATAACGAACAACGTAAGTGTTACGTTATTCCTATTGCATACCCGGGAAAAAAATTCTATATACCATATAATCGTGTATGATTATATA